GATCCTTTTTTCCCTGGAGCCTGCCCCCCTCTCCCACGGCCTGGGGGTCAGCTGCTGGTGGGCCCTGAGCTGTGGGGGGCCCCAGACCTACCCTCTGCAGCGGCAGTGCCCCTCCAGGCAGCACCCGCCCACTAGCACTGCACCTGGTCATGGGAGAGGCAGGCAGGCTCCATCAGGAGGGGGGGAAGTGGGCCCCTTGTTGCTATTTTTTTTCTTGGTGAAGCCTGCTCATGTAGCAGGACTGGCCAGATGGGGTGCTAGTGGGCGGGTGCTGCCCCAGGTCGCAGGTAGCACCTGCCAGATCCAATGGTGCACGGGGCCCTGAAAGCCCAGGCGTGCTCAGGGAAGCTCGGGCTTGGTGGGCTTCCAACACCCCCTGCACCTTTCCTGCCACCTTCCCGCTGCCTGGGACTGCCCAGGAATGGGCTGGTTTGCCTCTGGTCAGTGCAAGAAGATGGTAGGAGGGCGGCTGGGTGTGCTGATGGCTGGAGAAGTCAGTGGGGATGGTGCACGGGGTGCTGGAAGCCTGCCAAGCCGGAGCTTCCCTGAGCACACCTGAGCTTCCAGCACCCTGAGCACCACTGCAGTTTGTTACATAGCAAACTAAAATACATCTGATGTGTTTTACTTTGCTACGTAACAAAGTCATTTAAGCGAAATGCGAGACCACACGCATACAGCATGACAAAATTGAAATGAAATACGCTGCTGCAGGTGTAAACATGGATGACATTAAAGTGGTGCAAAAGGGCAATTAAGCCACTTTAAAGGACAACTTTGTCATGCGTACAAGTGCCCAGGACTCTCAGCTGAAACTCTACCCAGAAATGGGAGAAAATGACTGCAAGTACCCATGAGCTGCCTCCTCTTCATCTTTAGGTGAAGGGAATGGGGCAAGGACCCAGCATAGCCCAAGAAAGAAAGTAGCATTTGCTAAGGCTGAGTTTGCCTGGGCACACAGATGGTGTACTGATTTGACATCCCCCCCCCCCAAAGTAATCAGCTTGCAGAGTTCTGTAGCTCTCTTGTACTAATACTGCAAGTACTGCACAGCTTCTGCTGGGGAGCTCTTCCTAGGGCAGAGAGGGGCACTTTTTTTCAGATGAAGTTTATTTACTGGAAAAAATTCAATTTGGGGTTGACTCAAACAATTCTCAAATTCATGCTTAAAAATGCAGAAAATTTAAATACCGCATTTTTCACATTCTCTAGCTGGAATATTTATATTCTTTCAGCCTGAAACAAAAAATTCATTTTGAAATGTGCCTAAATTTCTTTCTAAAAAGGTAAAAAACAATAAAACCTTAAAAGAAAACTTTCATTTCAAGTTGCGTGAAATATTTTAGATGACTAACATTTTCCCCCATTTTTAGATTCACACATTAAAGCAAAAATTCAATTATTGGCACATCTCTATAACTGTGTGTGGTGCATGAATGAGCAATTTGCCAGTATCGTGAAGGTGGTGATAAACTGAACTTACTCTTCATTTCTGATTTCCCTTTTTTTTTTTTTTTTTGGCAGATATGAATCAACAGCTCCTTATCATGGAAATGTTTCTGATAACTCTGATCTCCAGGGTGGTCTATAGGAAAAGATACAATGACCTGGAACTTCCAGAATGTACTAACCAGGAAACTGTGGATGACAAACCAATCGCCAAAGTCAACCTGAATGGGCAAGTTATTGGAGATGGGTCCATAAAGGTTTAAAACGGTGGATGTGCTCCTGTCTTATGAGAGCTGGACAATGCTTGTAGTCTTGCTTCAGTTTATCCTGGGATTGGTCAGAATCGTGACCAGTGTCCATGCACTACTTGGGGAGATGCCATGGCAGCTTTTATATCTTTGTATTGAAAATAGCAGATCTTCATGTTGAAACAACTCTGGAAAATACATTTGACCTATGCAGGAAGGACCAAAAAGTGGAAGCATATCCCTTTCCTTATCTTCCAGAGATAAAAAGAAAGCAAGTTTTCAGTCTCTATATAATTTCCTATTGTTTGATCACCATCAGCTTGATTAAATTATTCAGTTTAGCTATGAACTGATACAAGACATTGTTACATAGTAAATATTCATGCAAAGAGCCAACAGTAGTTAATTCAGACTTATTCTCTTTTCATGTCTCTTGTTTCTTTCCCTTGTCGCATGTGGCTTGGAATCCTCTCATTCTCTTTGTCTCTACCTGATTTTCCAGTATATTGGATACCTTGCTTTCTCCTTTCACATCCATCCTCAATTCTTACTATTTCTAGCAAGATTACAATAGCTAGTGGACCTTATTAAATGCACTGCCACACACACATACTATAAAACCTCAACAAAACCTGCTTATATTGTCCACCTACATAGTTACCAAGCTCTTGGGAAGGGAGAGCTGTCACTTTATCTGCCACTCTTCCATCCGTGAGCAATTTGTCACCATTCGCAAATATTCAGAAGTCACTAATTGTAGATGGTAGTGTGGTCTGTTGAATTGGCCGCTGGACTGGGAGGCAAAAGACGAGGGTTCTGTTGTTTGCTCTGTCACTGATCTGAGGTATCATGCTGGGCCTCAGTTTCTTCATCTACAAAATGGGAATAATGACATTTTGTGAAATGTTTGAGACCTTTGTGTAAAAATGTTACTATAAAATAAATATAGATAGAGCAGGTCCCTTTCGCAACCCCCCCTTCAAAAAACCTGAACCAGCCTGAAAATTAATGGGACATAGATATTTATTAGAATCTTTAGGCCAAATTCTTTTATCACGTAAACCTGCCAGTTAGCCACATTAAAATAAGGTTCCTTTTTTTACAAGGAATCTTTAGAAGCCAGGGTTTTTGGAAGAAGCTGATGGCTCCATTTTGATTCAGTATAAGTTCTGACATGATTAACAATTAAAAAGGGTCAGGCTTCATGTTTGTCAGGAATTCAGAGGCAGCACTTTGCACTAAAACTCAGTTTGAGCTTGCTCTGATTTTTGAGAAATCTATTTAATTCAAACTGGACATTAATGCTTTGGCCATGTCAGCAATAGGAAAATGTACCATGTTAGAAAATGTTAACTATACGTCTTATTATATGATGTACAACTTTGCCTCTAGAGTAAAATTAAGCAAATGGTTCTTTTTTGATTATGGGCAATTCAAAATAAACCTTTTTTGTTTTCATTTTGGGTTGATTTTTTTTTTTTTTAACAAAAAAATCTAGGTTAATCAAAAGGTTATTTTTGGATCAAACATTTTGGATCAAAATTTGTTTTTTAGTCTTTTAAGATTTAAAAAAAACAAATGCAATTTACAAATGAAAAGTTTCAGTATTTTCAGAATATTTTAAGCATGTTTTCCTAAATGAACAATTTGACAAACTAAAACACAATTACAAAATATTTCAATGTTGCTGAATCTGCAAGTTTCTTCAGTAATGAAGTTTTGGTTGAAAGCTTTCATTCAACACTAGACTATCCTACTAGGTTTAATTTTGTTTGACTCACACATTTTAAACATTTATGCATATTATGTTCAGAAGTATGTTAAATATATCAGTGAACATTTTTTTTTAACATGATGTATTTTCACCATAGAAAGAGCCACAGGTATGTACCTGCATACATAGGCAATAATGCTCCAATAATGTCTGTAATGTAGTACTTATCCATGTAGGATAATATTTGATAGTGTTTTTACAATGGGTTGGGCAAGTGAATGGCTGGAACTGTGGGGGAAATTAAATATTGGGAAAACTGACTATCTAGAGTCCACAATGTGCTCCTGATATATGGGAAACAGTTTAGTTGTTAGTGTTGATCAAAGAAAAAGTGTGATTTTTAAAAAAAGGTTTGGAAATTATGGCAAAAATTGTGGGTGTTTTTGTACATTAAATTAAATATCTTTTAGTATTTGTTCAGTGGGACCCATTGTTTACAGTTGTTGCAAATAATGGATCAAGCTCCTAATGTCACTAGGTTTTAAAAGTTCAATCACTTATAAGAAACAGGCAGAGAAACAGAACTATTTTAGCTCTTCCCCAACACAGTTTAGGAGTGCTATCTCAGCAAAGCAATAATTGACATTGGCCCTGCATTTGATGTACCTACTATGTGGACAAAAGGTTTAATTTCCCATCTGGCATCTGTCACACCACTGAAACATTTATTAAAATGCATTTTAAAACAATCAGTGTGAAGATAGTTTAAACATGTGTGTCACTTTAGCTATTATGCTTTTAGGGAGATATTTAATGCTTGTACTTACTAGTCATCTGTCATATTTGAACAGGAAAATGTAATGGTCAGGTAATGATTGGCAGGCAGACTTTTCAGCTGTCAGCTAAGAAGACACCTCTGATACACTCTTTCCAGTCACTAAGGTCCCAATTATGAAAGCAAATGACTATATAGAACCCTATACTTATATACAAA